TGTGTGTGTGTGTGTGTGTGTGTGTGTGTATGTGTATGTTAGACCAGTTTATGTGTTTATGTAGTATGTTGGACTAGTTTAAGTGTTTATGTAGTTAATAAAACTTTACTTGTATCACACTTGACGTGTTCATTGTTTGCTCATAACCGGAGTCACTAATCATGCAGATTTACGCTACAAGCTTTTGTAGAATTGTACAGTAAGAAAGTTATTTCCCTTAACCAGGAAATTAACGTTCTTAGAATTGACAAGACAGTTGACCCTGAGAGGTCAGCTAAATATCTACAGCGGATCTAAAATATGAATAGTTAATTATAACTAGTTATGGTTAGTTATTCATATTTCCTGTCATGAGCTGATTCGTTACAAAGCTTTCCAGATTGTTCTGATTTTCAAATTCTGTCTTCCATAGATAATTAGAGTGAAGCATGCTGGAAGCTCTTGCCGAACAGACCAACCTCCAGTCAGAGGCTGCACCTGACTCCCTGATGCCACCAAAACACAAAATAAAGTAAAATTTATAATAAAAAATACAATATAATATTTTTAGTGTCAAACGATTAATCGCGATTAATTGCATCCAAAATAAAAGATTTTGTTTACATAATATGAGTGTGTACTGTGTATGTTTATTATGTACAGTATATAGAAATACAAACACATGAATGTGTATATTTAAGAAAAATGTTGTTTATATATATATATATATATATATACACACATGTAAATATTTATACTTTATATACTTAATGTATGTGTATTTATATATATATACATAATAAATATACACAGTATACAAACAAAAACCTTTATTTTGGATGTTTGACAGCACTCATTTATTTAAAAAAAACTAATATTGTGAAATACAACAATTTATAATAACAGTTTTCTGTTTTAATACATGTTTAATACATTTGCCATTAATCCAGTCATCAGTGTCACATTAAAATTGCTGTGGTGTGTAGTTTCTGCATTATTTTTGCAGTGTGTTGTCTGCTGAAACAATATCAAAAAAAGCCTCAATGCAATTTATTAACAGTCTTTTGCAATGTAAGCTTGTATAACGAAGCATTGGATTGTGGCATAAACGGCTTGTTCATTGTTTAGAAGAAGAAGAAGAAAAAAAGACGTTGTGTGTGTGGGACAGACGCACAAACACTTTCTATTGAATAAATCTAAATGAAATGAGTGTTATATTCGGTCATTTGTGTATTGGATTCCATTTCTTTGTAAATAAATTGTTTAGTTGAGATGTAAACGTGGCCCTTCTCCACACACAAATTCTGTTTCATGATGATAAAGTTCTTAGTGAATATTCTCAGTGGCACACCCTTAATAAATATTTTTATAATTAAATGGACATTTTAAAGGAAATATTCAATGTTGTAGTGATGCTGTGGTTTTGTATAATGGCATTGTTTACATTAGCTCTAGGATTATTACATTTCTCTGCTATGCACAGTCACGAGTAGTGTGTGATAGTG